CACCCAGAGCTCCCAATCTAGTCCCACGGTTGGTGGATCAGATCAGTCCTCCAACAGAAACTATGGCAGAGCACTATGAAGGGTATAGGAGAGATTCTGAATGTCGTTTCTGTAATTTCATGATACTGGGTTTTTTTTTTTTTCTTTTTTTGAACAAGTAGTACAAATCTTCGTGGGTTAGGGTTAGGATTAGGGAATCGGCTGGATGGCTGAAGCGGCACCTCTTCTCCCAAACGTCCTAGAAAACCAGATGCCTGAGTCGGAATTGGAAGATCCGGAGGCTGGTATGAATATTCTCGATGGCTTCCTTTTGGGGTAAACGGTGAGCCTTTATGATTTTTCTGAATGAGATTGAGAGGCATTGGTGGGCCTTTCTAGGAAATTTCCATCGCACATTCATCGGTGGAAAGCTTGTTCAACTATTCATCTTTTGAGAATTCTTTACAGAAATTTTTTGACTTCTATAAGGCACTCGCCTCTTTCACTCTCCGGCGAGCACTTCCACTTTCATTGGGCCACGTACGCTCGTTTTAGGCTCTGAATTGCAACCTTTCGCGATCGAGATAACGTGGCCCAATAAAAGTGAAAGTGTGGGCCGCAGAGTGCACTGATCCTATAACTAAACCTTTTGTCGTTCTTCTCGTGATAGCGGAGTGGAATCACTCCCATCCGTAAGTGGGAACACCACTAAATTCGTATTTCACTCACAACTCCATTGTACAGTACCCAAATCCACCCCCAAAATATAGTGGTAGGGACAGATCCACCCTCGAACAAAAAACGAGATAAATCTACTCATAAAATTTTTGATTTGAATAAATCACCCCAAATTTAATGTGTGACATCATTTGACATCAACAATCTGTTAATTTGACGTCATCTGACGTCAGCAATCCGTTAACGAATTAACGAATTGCTGATGTCAAATGACGTCACACGTTAAATTTAAAATGATTTGTCCAAGTTGAAAACTTTATGAATGGATTTGTTCCCGTTTTTTATTTAAGGGTGGATCTGTCCCTACTACTATACTTTGAGAGTGGATTTGGGTATTTTGCCCAACTCCATTTCCTTCGCTCTTTATTAAAAATATATAATAATAATAATAATAGGTAATTATCTTCCTCAATTAAAAAAAAAAGAAGAATTTTAATTATCATTTTTTTAAAAGATGTAAAATTTTAAATTAAAAAAATTTTAATTTTAATTTCAAAATAAATAAATAAATAATTAACATATAGCATTTATAATTAAAATAATAAACTATAATAATAATATTGTTATTATTTTTTATCATCTATGTTAATAAAAATAATTTTTGTCATTAATTTCACATTAAAAAACTGAAATTTTCCTTTTTAAAAATAAAAAGTTAACATCAACTATCATCCTTTTTTTATTAAATAAAAGTTCAAATTAAGCCTTCTACCATTCATTTATCTCATGAGAAAGCTGGTAGATATTCCCATCTCTCGTAAACAAATTCTTCTCACTAAGCCCTTGTTTGGATAGAAAATAGTAAAGGGAAGGGAAGGAAGGGGAATGGAGGAAAATAAAAGGAAATGGAGGGGGAGGAAAAGAAAGGGAAGGAAAGAAAATAGAAGGAAATGATTTGTGTTAATTTTGTTTGGATAAATAAAAATGAGAAATGAGAAGGGAAAAGAAGCATTGTATTATTTTATATTTGGATAATTAAGGTAAAAAGAAAGGAAGTAAGGAAAAGATTTAAATTAATTTTAAATTTACAAATTTATCCTTTAAACTTGTAATAGAGAATGATATAATAAAAAAATTAAAGTTAATTTTGTAATTACATTTAACCTAATCTAAACAGTCACTCAAATCCCTCCCAAACCCCCCAAATCGGGCGGATTGTAAATCTGCAGATTTCAGGGTGGTTGGAGGGAGTCCGAATCAGTCCATCTCCCTCCCCCTCTCCCTCTTTGAAAACCCAAACAGGAAGAAAGAGACAGACCCCCCTCGCTCCCCCTCCCTTGCCATCCGTCTCCATCCCTTCCCCTTCCTCTCCGTCCGACACCTCCAATCCAAACAATACCTAAAGCACAAGAGAGGGAACTATAAGGATATAAAAAGAGTGAGATTAACAGCCTTAGTTCCAGAGATGAAATTTCCCTATTAATTAACATGTTAGTACATGAAGAATATTACAGCGGTCTGGTGATTACAAGATAATTGGGAAGATGAGACATTGCAAGTTCTAATTTTGATAAAACCTTAGGCAACCAAAAT